TGATATTTTAGTTTAAAAAATATAAAAATATATATTCTTCGAGAAAACTATAAAATTTGACTTGATATTATCTTACATCCATATGGCTGACTTGGAAAGTTCTAAATATTTTTTATACTTTTATCAGATTATAATTGATATATTTTTAAGAAAAAAATTAAATATCTAAAATTAGTATTTTCTAGTTTTATATATTTTAAATTTATGTGATTTATTATACAATGATCAAGCCATGTCAAAATCTTTCATAATTTCTGTGTGAATATGATTCATAAGATTAAGAGTACACTTCTAAAATCTATCATCATTTTAAAGCATCACAACTATGTTAGGTAAATTCATATGCATTGATAAGAATGTTAAGATATTAATTTATACAACACAAGAACAAAGGAGTAAGAGAGAATGACCTTCCCTTCAGTTCTCCAATGAAGAAATAGAAGTATGGTTGGCCCCATTGTTAGATGTCCTAGTAGGAAAATTCTCATTTACCAAAGTTCATCCTATTAGAGATAAGGGATGAGTAAAGAAAAAGAGAAAAATTGATGGAAAAATCTTGGTAAAAACCATTAGTTGTGAGTTATACTTAGATTTTCAAATGGCATGGAGTAGGGCAACATGAATAATTGAAGACATTTATGATATCTTTTAGGTGGTCCCTCCTACTGCACCTTTGGGGAAGAACCTTCTAGAGTTCTTGTGTGGATATGATTCATAAAGTTTGAGAGCACCCTTCCTAAATCTCTCAACATGTAAGAGCACTACAACTATGTGAGGTAATTTCATATGCATTGATAAATATATTATGATATTATGATAAAAGTAACACAAGAAGTTGATCAGGCAAGTATGAGTCAAAGAGAATCTCTATCTTTGAATTTAATGGTTATGAATCAAATTGCTTTTACTACAATTCTATAACATCTATCCAAGGTATTGCCCTTGAGATTTCTCATTAGTCTAATATGCATATCCTAGATCAAGATCTTACAAGGAAAATTGACAGAAAGATAGTTCTGCAAGTGGGGGAAGTGACCTACCTTAGACAAGCCTGATTAGAATATTTCAAGTGGAATAAGTGGCTTGCCCTAAACACACCAAATCATGTAGAAAGGATGGGTCAATTACATGAAGAAAAGAGAAGAAATAGGGGGCAAATGAGAAATGAATGTTTAGTGATGGCCAAAAGACAATCTTACTTTGTTGCTATGTGGCGGAAGTTAGACTCATCTATCTCATTATTAGGACAATGTAATTCACTCACTTATGTTATAAGAATTTTTAAAAAGACATTTGATACATAAAATCAAGTATCATATGTAAGAGGTTGGAATATTTACTTAGTATATAATTTTTATTATATTTATACTTAAATATTATAATATTTTTATTTATGAATAGAATTGAAATGGTATGAAATATTTCATATGGTCCAGATCATAAATTTAATTATTATGCATCTTAGTTTTATTGCTGAAATACCCTTCAATATATGTATTCATCATCTAGACTCTTTAATCTTGTTTAAGACATCAATCTCTAATCCAATTTTCATTCTATATCATCTATTTGATAATTTTAGATTAATCTTCATAAATAATTAAAATAATATTGAGTTAATTCATAACTCAATAAAACTTTAGGATTGGAGTGAGGTCTCTAGGTGTATAACAAGTAGGCTCTGAGCCCCATCTCTCTCACACCAAATGCTACCACTCAATTATCAGATTTGTGGTTCTCCTTGACTTGTTGCGATCACCAAAGTCCTTAACCCCATCTAGTTGACCAAAATCTCCTTACTAGCCCCCTAACAAAGATCCACCCCTTTTTTAGGAGAAATGTCTTGAGAAGATGACGAGGAGTCCTTCGACACAAACATGAGTGAGTTGGGGGAGGAGAGGGTACTCTTCAAGGACACTACGAGAGTGAGAAAGGGATGAACTGATCTTTGTAGTGAGAGTGGATCTCTATATAGGATCCTCCCTCTTAGGGTTACTAAACCTTTATCAAAAAAATGAGTCATTCCACCTAGATCACAGTGCAGGCTGTGGTATTTATGTAGTCATGCCATCATTGGCAAAGTTAGTGGCAAGGAGGGTGGAGCAATGCCAAGGGAAGGGAGCATTGTGCGAAAAGATAGTTGCTCATAGGCCAATTGTCTATGTGAAAATAAGTTTTCAAACTCTAAGGTTTCTTATATGGAGGGGATGAAGATGACGATGGGGTGTCTCATAAGAAGAAGAAGAGATCTATTGAGGCACCACAATCTTTGCAAGTGACTAAGAAACCTTAGAGTTTGGAAGGTAGTTTGCTAAACTTTTCAACTTGCTAACCAATAACTCTTTACATGTCTCTGGACAAGATTTCATACTTACTTGATCAGAACCCCATAGTATAATATATTTTATTCCCCATTAGAACAATCTGAATGCTCTTAGACAAACCCCATCTCTTCTTCACCCTGTTCAATGTAAGTTGTCATGAATGATATAAGAACTATCTTGGGATCTTGAAACTGAATATTATCTAGACGAGTGAATTGGTCAACCCTAAAACAACAACAATCAATTACTATTATTGTAAAACAAGCCAGTCTTTTACCTCAATTTCAGTAAAAATCATTTGTACATTGAAATTATGATAAAGTCTAATGTCTGAAATAGATAAAATAAAACGGTAGATTATGTACAAAACTTGTAATTCTAGTTACGAATAAAATAAAAACATTGATAATAACTTCAATTAGAAATGCTTAAATGAATGAAAAAGGAATGGTTCAAATAGCATCCAGTAATATCACTGAAAACTTTGTGAAAATACTTCTCCAAGAAGGTTTTATTCAAAACGTTAGTCTCTAGAGATCTTGAAATGGAATAGATCTGATCATCATCACTTTAGAACATCAGGAAATTTCCAGACTATTTATCTCGTAAATGTTGAACTTTATCATTATTATAATTACTAAAAACTATTCAAAAGTTCATTTGGGTCAAGTCCGAGCGTGACCAAAGTTACTAATCCATGACCGTCAGAAATGGCCAACCGCCCAGGTCAGCTCCCGAGCTAGTCGCTCGGATCCAGTCAACAGGAAATCTTGCCAGCTCGGCTGATCACAATTCCTCTACCAAGGGAACAAGTGGAAGGTAATAAATATGGAAAAGCCCCCAAATCTCGTCAAATTGACCTTCCATCCCCGTCACGAATAGCTGGGGACCCTTTGGGCCGGAGCAGTCCCTTTCCCCTGAACCACCGCTGCTTGTTCCCACAGGGCACGTGACCGCGGATGTCGGCTGCCGTCCAACGACATCATTCAATTCCTTGACGGGCCCAATTGGGCCCAATTGCGGAAAGAGAGGCGACCATGGGCCAATCGCTAAACCTATAGTTGGTGAAATTTTAAACAACCCCCATCTCCTTTCTATTTATCACTTAAATGCACAGTCCGGCATACTTTTGTGTGATAAAATATTTTGTGCTTCTGAAGCGTATCCATTGAACAATTTCACCAATGAATAAGGTAACTATGTAATTATTCATGGACATAAATATTATATCGATAAGTTGAGAGGGGAAAACGTCATTAGCGTCAGTGATGGGAGAGGAAGTATTAATAACTATCCCCATTAATCTCATCCCCACGTCTCTCACAAGTACAAAAGAAAAAGTCCTCGGACGGGCCCCACCTTCGCGACGTGGCAAGATGTGCACGAAAGTATTTCAACAATTATATTGGACATGTGGCATAAATAAATATATGGAAATTTACAAGAAAGCCCACGACTCGCTGAGTACCGAGGCAGGTGTTTCGCGATTCGATAAGTCAACGATATTTCTGACACAGATGGTCAACGATAATGGAATGTTGGCGCGATAAATAACCGGAAGTGAAGATAACCAATCGCTAGTTAGAACTAGACGCCCTCGTGGATGGGGCAATAGGCGATAAGCGTGACACGTATTCGGAATCCTGTGGACAGAAGTTACCACCAGAGCACAGTAAAATATTAATATATGACATTACCAAATATATAATTTACACGTGTACTCTTTTAATGGAGGTTTTTTGCGTATAAACCCAGAATCTGGAGGTCCCTGCCTGGTAAGAGGAGATTCGTTTTACAAACGCCGAAACGGGCACTTCGCCGCCGGAGGGGGGGGGGTCTCCGCGTCCACGAATTTCTTCCTTACGAGAATGCCCTCCAACAAAGGGCCACCTGGTAATGCCGCGCGGCGGTGCGGATGAAGCTAGACAGGATATCAGCGTCTGCACCCTTTTCCATCGCTTTCGCTCCCTGGTCCTCCCTGTGAACCTTCTTCCTGTTCCCCCCCCCCCCTTCTCTCTCTCTCTCGCTCTCTTGCTGTGTCTCTTCGTGTCTGCTGACCTTTATCGGCTTTCGAAGTTCTTTTCCTTCCCCTCGTGGCCAAGAGAGTCGCGTGAACGCCACGGAGACTGTATTCCGCCGGACTGCCGCCTTGGTGGTTCCGCCGGCGGCCTCGCCGTTGCCCCGCTGAGGGCTCGAGCTTGACAGATGGATCGCTCTGCTGCGACTGTTTGACCGGGTGAGCGCCCCCTCCCCTTCCCCTTTTTAATTCTGTATCTATCTGGTTCTAATCCTCTGAGTGGGTTTGGTTGATCCTCTGAATTGGGCCGTCTCGCCGGAGGCCTTCAGAGCATATCCGCTCTTGGGTGTTCATCTCCTCCGGCAGTTTGATCGGGTATGATCGATTGGGTTTGATCAGGGCCTAGGTTTTAGGGAGCTGATCGATTAGATTGGGTCTGTCGAATACAGCAATGGCGATTAGCTCGAACACCCACCCATGGATAAGACGAGATCATCCTTGAAATCCCCCGCCTGAACCCCGCAGGAGATCACAGAAATCCGGCGTCTGGTGATAGAATGATGATCTCCCCCCCATCTGATTCTCTCTGTGTGTCTCTGCATCTTCTTTGATAATTACAGAAGATTTGAAGGAGCGAGCTGGTGTGGTAGCCGAGAAAGATGGAAGAAGACCCGGTCTGCCACTGCTTCCCGAGGGATGATATTCTGATGAAGTACCAGTACATCTCGGACTTCTTCATCGCGCTGGCCTACTTCTCGATCCCTCTGGAGCTCATCTACTTCGTGAAGAAGTCCGCCTCCTTCCCCTACCGGTGGGTGCTGATCCAATTCAGCGCATTCATCGTCCTCTGCGGGGCCACCCACCTCATCAACCTCTGGACAGTCACCCCCCACTCCGAAACCCTAGCTCGGGTGATGACCGTGGCCAAGGTCTCGACGGCGTTCATCTCCTGCGCCACCGCCCTGCTGCTCGTCCACATCATCCCCGAGCTGCTGAGCGTGAAGATGAGGGAGCTCTTGCTGAAGATGAAGGCGGAGGAGCTCGACAGATTGATGAGGATCATACAGGTCCGGGAGGAGAAGGAGAGGCATTTCCGGATACTGAACCAGGAGGTCAGAGCCTCTCTGGACAGCCACACCATAGTGACGACCGCCATGATCGGACTGGTTAACACCTTGGGGCTGGAGGAGTGCGCCCTCTGGACGCCATCGCCGGCGAGCTCAGAGCTCCACCTCTCCCACACCGTCTGCCACCACTCAATGGTCGGATCTGCGGTTCCCCTCAACCTTCCCGCCCTCGACAATGTCCTCAGCTCCAACCGGGCGACGAAAATCCCCCACACCAGTCCCCTGGCGAGGATCCGCCCCGTCCCGGGGAGGGGGAGGTACGTCCCACCGGAGGTCGCCGCCGTGAAAGTTCATCTCCCCATGGTTTCAGATATTCCGGCGATCGGCTGGCCGGAGCTCGCCGGCAGGAGGAGTTACGCCGTGATGGTCCTCATGCTCCCCCCGGACAGCGCCATGAAATGGCGCGACCATGATCTGGAGCTGGTCCAGGTCGTCGCAGACCAGGTACCCTTCTTCCTTCCCGTCCATCGCCTTCGTCGTCCTCCCGAGTGTTGTTGCCCTAATTGGAGGGAACCCATCGCCGTCGTCATTTCTCCGATCAGGTTTCAGCGGCCCTCGCCCACGCGGCGGTCTTGGAGGAATCAATGAGAGTCCGAGACCAGCTCATGGAGCAGAACCTCGCGCTGGATCTCTCCCGGCGGGAGGCGGAGAGGGCCATCGGCGCCCGGAACAACTTCCTCGCCGTCATGAACCACGCGATGAGGACCCCTCTGCACGCAATCATCTGCCTCTCCTCCCTCCTCCTCGAGGCGGAGCTCGCTGCAGAGCACCGGATGGTGATCGAGACTGTGCTCAAGAGCAGCAGCCTCATGGCGACGCTCCTCCACGACGCTCTTGACACCGCAAGGCTCGAAGACGGCAACCTGCTGCTTGAGGCCGACGTCTTCAACCTCCCCTCCCTGTTCAGAGAGGTATGAAATCCGAACGTCTTCCCCGGCTAGAAGCTGCGATGGGTCCAGTCGTTGACCTCCTCAACTGGGTTGGATCCTCTGGTTCTTGCTTCAGGTGATCGGGCTGATAAAACCCATCGCGGCGGTGAAGAAGCTCTCGGTGTCGTTGACTTTGGCGCCCGACTTGCCGCCGTGGGCCGTCGGCGACTCGAAGCGGCTCACCCTGATTATCATGAACCTCGCGGGTAACGCCGTGAAGTTCACCAAGGAGGGCTACGTCTCCGTGGCTGCCTCTGTCGCCAGAACCGACTCCCTCAAAGAGGCTCGTCCTCCAGAGAGCTTCCCCCGCTCCGGCGACGGCAACTTCTATCTACGTGTCCAGGTAGCTCTAAATCATTGATATATACGAGGACTTTGTTATATATATATAAATGTATATATAGACTTAAAAAGTCTTGTGGTGGGTTCAGGTGAAAGATTCCGGCTGCGGGATCAGCCCTCAAGAACTCCCTCATCTCTTCAAGAAGTTCGCTCACTCTCACACTGGGGCGGGTAGGAATTCCGGCGGCGGCGGCGGGCTCGGCCTGGCCCTCTGCAAAAGGTGAGATTTTTAAACTGCCCATCTCCTGTGGGGGTGGGTGCCTCACGGTTCTCGCACGTTTCCTGGTTTCTGGGGTCAAAATTCTCATTTAGTAACCGGGGTTCTGTCAACGGTTTCAGATTCGTCAACCTCATGGGGGGGCAGATCTGGCTGGAGAGCGAGGGCCTCCGGAAGGGGTGCACGGCTGTCTTCGTGGTGAAGCTCGGGCTCTGCGATAATGATAATCATCCAAGCTTCCGGAAGGGTTCTGTGGCTCCTCCGGGGCAGACCCCCCGGGGGGGAGGAGACGCCATCTCCCCTTCTAGAATGCTCCAGAATGATGAGAGCAGATATCTGTTGAGGAATTGGCACCAGAGTACATCATAGTAAGATCTCAGCCACAAATTTTGATAAGGCTTTTCTCTGCCCTTGTCGATGATGCCTTCTTGTTCCTCCGTAGATGCCCCTGCATTTGGGGGGTAGGAGGGGAGGGGGAGGAGGGTTCTCGTCGATTTGTTTATTTTTTATGAGAAAAAATGGGGGATTTCAAGGTAAGCTCAGGAGCTCTGACCCAGTTCACTGCTTCCTGCGATCATGGTCAACCCTTGTTATACACTTAAGTCAACCCTTGTTGTATACTTCAAAAATACCAGTTGAGAAGGCTCGGCAAATATTCCAATCTCTCTCTTTCTCTCTCTTCTCTACACTGCAAACGGGTATTGTCAAATGCATTACACCACACGAAACAGGGAAAGATGAGAGAGGGATGCCGGAACATAGATTTCATTCGCAGGTGATACCAAGTCAAATGGAAAAAAAATACTCAGACAGATCGAAGCTAAAGGCATAATTTTGCAGGAAAAAAAGAATTGAGCAAGGAAGACTGCGCATGACGGGCTGTCTGCAGCGAAAAACCAACGCACAATCTTTTCTAAATAAAGCACCTGAGGGTTGACCAGTCGCATGCTTATAGCAGAGCAGATGAGCTAGAACTTAAGTACAGAGACAGAAGTGGTATTTCCATTGCATGATGGAAGAAAACCAATGCAGTTCATGAGCAGCGAGGTGGGGATCACATATCCTTGCCATTCATGTTATAACAGTACTCCTGAATGCCGATCATCGTGGATTGCGGAAATAATTCTCGGGGAAGAAGAAGCAACACCAAAATCTGCCCACGCTTGGTGGATAGCAATCATGAAATGCATTAAGAAAAGGATAACCCAGTGATGATCAATCATTTGAAAGAGAGGTGCACAGGATACAATGTAGCTAGGACTGCAGATGTATGGAGGTTAAAAGCTAATGAAAAGAGTTCCTCTGGAACGTTGACCAGAGAAGAAAATTTCATGAACCATTGATCCATGGAATCATCAGGCCTGCATCCACAATAATCACCAGCCAGTGAAACATAGAGACTTTCTTTCGGTAAAATGGGCGAGCCCAGATGATCTATCCGAAGAACTAGATACTGTACAGAGCGAGTAAAATGAAAAGAATACTTTGCATAGATACATATATACATCATCGACCAGGAAGGGATGGTCGAGGGTTCGGGTGAGATACCAACAGGGAAAATACAGAGGTAAAAAAAGATGAGAAATTAATTTTTTCTAGGGAGCGAAATGAGGGATCAATCGCAGTAGTGCCATCTTTTCCTTGTTCGCCAGGAATTGGCAGATCCTCTTGAAAGCAAATCCGGAGCAGCTGTAGAGGGCCATGCAGCAGATCACGCCGTATACAACATCGAAAGCCGGATCGGAGGAAGCAGAGGAAGATCCCCATTCCCCCCAATCCGGTCCCCCGCGCCCCTCGAAATTCCACCACCTTCCTCCACCTCCTCCTCCGCTGCCTCCCCCAAACGAACCATCATCTCCATCCCAGTCCCCAAAACACCCTTCGCAGCCGTCGTCGTCGTCGTCGGTGATCGATCTCCGACGAGTCTTCCGTGTCCGCCGGACGAACGCGCGGGGCACGGCCCTGTGCGGATCCGACCGGACAACCTTCCGGGGAGGAGCTATGGAGTCGACGCTCAACATCCCCACGGCGGAGATCACGAGCACCGATGAGGGCCGAGACAGGAGGAGCTTTGAGATCTCAAACCCTCGCGCTGTAGGACCCGCGAATACATCCCCAATCGCTGCACACGACTCCATTTCCCCCACCCCCCCCCTTCTTCTCCTTCTCCTCACAAGCCCAACCCTAATCCTCGAATCCCTAGCCCTAATTCAGGAAACAGAGGGGAGACAGAGGAATCGAAGGGGAACTTGCAGAGTTGGAGCTCCCTTCCTCTCTATCTCTCCCTCTCTCCCTCTCTCCCTCTCTCCCCCCTTCCTCTCTCTCTGTCTGTCTTAACAGGAAGGTAGATGAAGGGGGAGGACGAAGAGGGAAGCCGTGGTCTGCGGCGGCGTGTTGTTCGTTGGCCGTTTGACTGGTGGTGGAGGTTGCGTGGAGGTCTGTGCCACCTAGTTCCCGCCGAGCTGACTCGGTTTGACTCGGACGGGTTAGGCCGGTCTGTGGCCCAAGACCTCACGATAGCCCAGTTCTTCTACGACCACTAAAATGAATGGGCCTTATGTGACCAACATAATGGGCCACAAAGTGGATCCAGTAGTTTACTGGGCCGGAAACTGAAATGGCGGCGGGCCACGTCTGCTTTGCCACTGCTCCAAGAAACGCGAAGCCATGTGGTGCCTCGCGGAATAGCGAATACACATCTTCACCTCCGTCAGTTAGAGGTGTAAGGTTGAGTTCCGGAAGGACGATGCGGTGACGCGATACGAGGTGGAGACTAGTTTCCTTGGGGCTCAAGAATCGTAATCTGGGATGAGGGAAGAAACTATATAAAGTGACCTCCCTTTATCTCCCGCGTTTCTTCATGTTTGCGTGGGGAGGAGAGGGGGGGTGGCGAGATGGTGTCGCTGAAGTTGCAGAAACGGCTCGCCGGGAGCCTGCTCAAGTGCGGGAAGGGGAAGGTCTGGATCGATCCCAGAGAGGTCAATGAGATCTCTATGGCGAACTCCAGTGAGCTCCTCGTGCCGGAACTTCTCGCCTCATTTGTTCGAATCGCCGCGTTCTCTGCATGAGCTTACTTCCCCTTGTTGCTTCATTTGATAATATGGAGACTCGATATTTTTTCGCTCCCAGCGACTGTCTCCATTCTTTTTTCATGTTCTGAGGGCGTATGGCTTGTTTCTCACCGGTGAAGGTTGTGATTGTATTTCATGGACGGTAATCCCGAGTTTGAGGTGCCTATCGATATCTCTGTGACCCCATTTGGCCGATCAGGGACTGTGACAGTCGCTCTGACCACCGCGTGACAGGGACTTTATGGCGTTCATAAACAGCTTGACCACCCGTTTTGTGATGTATCTACTCTACCATTTTGTGACGTATATCTCATAAAATAACTCTATGAACTCTTTTGTGTCTTCAAAGCCTATCAGTAATAAGTCAGACCCTATGATTTAGTCTTTTACTACTGCAACCCTCTCTCCCTCTCTCTCTCTCTCTCTCGCTCTCTCTCCCCCCTTCTCACTCGCTCGCTCACTCACTCACACGCACAGTTATTGTTTTGCTCTAGTTGTTGTTGCGTGTCGTGGAGGTTACTGGGTCATTTTTGCGTTTTTTCTTCCCTCTTCTTCTTTTCTGTTTTCGTATGCTTGAATATATGTGAACCATTTTCAATTGTTTCTGACGGATCGTGACCTCCTTTGATATCTTCAGCGTGCTGACTTCTTCTGTTAAAAAACTCAGGGCAGAGTGTAAGAAAGCTAGTAAAGGATGGCTTCATTATTCGTAAGCCGGCGAAGATCCACTCTCGGTCTCACGCACGACGAGCATTGGAGGCCCGGCGGAAAGGGCGCCACTCCGGATATGGTGTGTGCGAACAGGTGTTGCCATAATTCGAACTAAATAGCGTTTTATCTTATCTCCATCCAAATTATTCAGGAAAGCGCAAGGGTACCCGTGAGGCAAGGCTTCCCACGAAGGTTCTCTGGATGAGAAGGATGCGCGTCCTTAGGCGTTTACTGCGAAAGTACAGGGAATCGAGGAAGATTGACCAGCATATGTATCACGATGCGTATATGAAAGTGAAGGGTAATGTGTTCAAGAACAAGAGGGTTCTGATGGAGAGCATTCACAGATCAAAGGCTGAGAAAATCAGAGAGCAGACTCTGTCCGATCAGTCTGAAGCTAAACGGGCGAAGGGCAAAGATACCAGGGAACGGAAGATTGCTGGGAAACAGGAACGCTATGCCCTGGTGAGGCAAACCTCATCTGTGTGGCACCAATTCCCTTAAGTTCCATTTCCATCGTTGGCGAAAATAGACCTCCTGGGAATCACAGTTCTCAATAAACTTTCCAGAATAGTGACGCATACTCCATTGATTCATTCTCCACCCCTTGAACCTCGGGAGCTTTGGCTATTTGAGGATCGAATTCATCATTGCTGACTCCCACATCTCTTTTTTTCTGCATACAAACTTAAAAACGAAACGTTTCAAATGGAATTTTCAACCGCTTCTGTGATTAAAAAATAAATTCCTTGGAGCGAAACTGTATTAGGAGATGTAATTTTTCTATGCACAAGATATATTAGTTGAGCTTGGCAGCTTTGAACATTTCTTCGTCATTCTGATTCGGCAATTGTTTCTACTCTGCAAACAGATTCCAGGACAACACCTACCGTTGCCTGCAGCGAATATATCCAACCAACCAAGTAAATGACTCCCTTGTCTTGCGGTTCTTTTTCTCGAAGAACTTATACCTGATTTAAAATATTTTTTGCAGGCCCACTAGAATTTGAAGGACTTAAGTTCTTGAGTGCGAGGTCTGAAAATAGTCAACGTTTCTAAGTGTCACCTCGGCTTGTACTTTGTAATCAGCTGCTACAATAAATGCTTGCTATAGTCAGATTTGTATAGGTATATCCATCTCGTGCGGATGTGTTTTTCATGTAACGGTAATAATATAGCCGTCCGCATGAGCAAGCCTTACGTCCATTCTAATTTTTTTGTATAATTTAGTCAATAATTCCTCAGGTACAAAGGTTGAAGTCCAGTACTCCTTCGGCTATGCAATCAATGCTAGACACATTTTTTTCTTCCTCTGCAATATTTATCAATGCAGTTTATTTTTCAATTAAGCCGGCAATCTTTCAGGAAGAAAAATTGAGAAAAAAGGGCGCCAGCTGAGGACTAGCTGAGGAACCCAGAAGGGAATCCTCAGTGGCTTGTTGGGCACTGGTAGCACTTGTCGAAGAACCCGAATGAGCGGATTTGCCTGAGGAAGGTCGTCCCACTCGCCCATCCTCCGAACCCAAAGCCGAGGATGAAGACCCAGACCGCTATGAAAGCACTGATCCAGAAGCTCGACCGCCCTCTTCTTGGGTCTGCCTTCATCTGCGCCATCCCTCATCAGATAACCAGCAGACCACGCCAACCGAGACATAACCCAGTAAGACTATTCACAGGATCACTTACCGACTCCAGCTGATTTTTCTTGTAGGCTCTCATGAAGGCCACGCAGGGGATAATGTACACGGAGAAGGAGATCAGGAAGGCCCCCATGATAGAGTTGATGGGCCCGAAGAAGGGAATGGCCAGCGCCAGGAACCAGATGAAGAGGACCACGGGAATTCTAGCGGCCGCCTTGAGCAGAAACACCCCGCTGTAGTGAACCCTCACGAGCTTCTCCCAGGCGAGAAACAGCGGGTTCACGTTCAACAGGAACGCCACATACTGCAAGCGAAGCTCGGGATTCCTCAGTCCTCGCAGAGGAAAATGAGGGCGCCGCTAGAGGGCTTACCTGGTGGAGGATCATGGCGATGATGCAGACATTCTTCGCCGTGGAGGGCGGAAGAACCCCGAAGGCGTTGGAGCGATGGAGCAGGGTGTCACCGTACGCCCAGTAGACCGCCACGGAGTCCGGAATAGTCAGCAGATAGGTGTACAGCACTGCAGCCACGTAGGCGAACTTGTACTTCTGGGGCTTCCACATCGCCTCCATCAGCTCTCTGCGCCCAGCCAGGCAGAAGAGACGTCTCACCACGGCAGATTCCATCGGATGGCGGCGAAGAAATCACTTACATGCAGAGCCCGTGGCTGCCGAACGAGAAGAGGATGTTGGTGCTGCCCGTGAAGAAGTCCACCAGCTTCTTGGGCCCCCGGTGAGTCGCGCCCTCTATCTGCACGATGGATGGGTACACAACTCGCCATAAAAAAAATTAATATTTTTTTTTCTTTCTCAGAGCTCGAACGGGACGGAGATCAGAGGGAGGTCGTGACCTGGCCGTGCTGTACGGCCGCCACCGTCATGTAGGCCGAGGTCACGGTCGTCGTGGCGATCCCCAGAATCGACACCACCCGGAAGTTGTGGATCGACGGCAGGAGAACCGTGGGCAGGGCGAGGGCTCCAAACAGGTACAGCCACTCCCTCTTGTTCCACCTCGAGCTCATGTAGTAAACGTGGCTGCAGAACCAGGTGATCCTCCTCCTCACCGTCTTGTATATCAAAGAAAAAAAGAAAAGAAAAGGGAACAGCCGGATAAGATGGCGGCGCACCTGGAGCAGGCGATGAGCTGGAGGACGCAGGCGAAGGTGAGGGCGACCATGTTGAAGGCGAGCACCGCCCTGCCGAGCGCCGGCCCGGCGACGATGCCGATCACCTCGTGGTACTGCAGGACGTGCCGTCGGTGGAGTGTCCCGGCCTCCCTCGTGCGGCGGGAGGCCTCGGCGTGGAAGAGGCTGAGGAGGTAGACGGTCCAGCACCCGAAGGCCCCGTACAGGAATTGGGACGCCACCCCGAAGAAGTAGCCCATTTGGGAGAAGGTGTACGGCAGCGTGAGGATCAGCGACCCCACCTGGCTCAACCCCCACACACAGCCGGCGCAGTGGATTTGATTACACACCGTGTAGCCCTAGATCGGAGATGAAGATGCAGAGGCCAGGAACAGGAGGAGGAGATACTACCTGAGCGGCGACGGCGTTGATCCAGGCGTCGTAGACGGAGCCGCCGTGCCACACCAGCGCATTCCAGGTATCTCTGAGCGACGGCGCCGCCGGCGAGTCGGCGGCGCCGTCGGCTCCCCCTTCCTTGGCCGCCTCGCCCGCTCCGCCGCTCCCTCCCATCTCCTCCGCCGGCGTCATCGCTGCCGTCGATCCACTCTCCAAGATAGGAAGGCAACACACAGGAGGGGACTGAGAAAACGGGACGGTCCCGGCCAGTGGCAAGCGTGACGGCAATACCACTCCTCCAGTCCCTTTCGGGATCCACGGTCAGGGTAAGATGACCCATGTGGGGCGGTCATTTCCGGCTACCCCATTTTGGACCAAGTCGACTGCCCACAAGGGTCTCTGAGAGTGAGAGTGAGAGTGAGAGAGAGAGAGAGAGAGAGAGAGAGAGTCGGGCCATTGGATGCCCATCAGGTTTCGGATCGGGCTAGGACTGATGAACATCCCATAACAGCTGCTACAGAGACCGGGGAAAGCTCGAGTGGGGAAGAAAATGGCGGCCGGAAGGATTCGTCTTTCCTAGAGAGGACTCGACTGGGGAAGGTGAAGATTGAACTCGTAGAGCAACGTCGCAGCAACGGCAACGAAGAAGAGGGATAGCCAGAACAACAGATTCCGGGAGTTCTTCCACGACACCAGTATGGCGACCAGGCCGCTCCCGCCGCTCTTCTTCGTTGACGTCTCCTCCTGCACAGCGGCGATCTCGGCTGGCGGCCAGGAAGCTTTGACCGCCTCCTCCGGCGAGATCTCGGTCTCCTCCTCTTCCTCGGCTGATGGGATCTCCTCCAGGGCTTCCTCCACCACCTCAATGGTCTTGGGGAGATCGGCAAGCTCCTCTTCCTCCCCCACCTGTCGTCCTCTCTCTTCCTCTATGATCTTCTCCGGAGTTGGGTAATCTGGCGGATGTTCGTCCTTGGAGCTGGGAATTCCCTCTCCCTGGAGAAGATTGGATCGTATGAAGAATATCAGAACTCTCTCTCTCTCTCTCTCTCTGGTATAGATGGCAGCAGCAGGACTACCTGAGCCGCCGAGAAGCTGAGTTCATCCCTGGATGGCGGCGGTGCTGTGCGGGCCTGATCGTGCCTGCAGGATTTTGAGTTCGAGGTTTACATCATATTTTTTATCGCCAATACGAGTAAAATAATTAATTCAAACAGCAGGATGTTAACTTATTTTTTAATAAAATCCTCCTGACTTAAAAATGCCATTTTTACGAGAACGGGTTTGAGCGGAGCCTTTCGTTTTATTTCGAAATGTTCAGTGATTCCGTCGGAAATCGACGTTTTAAGTGGAAATACCCACGGATGAAGATGGTCTTCCAGAGACAACGGTAGAGGCGGCGCCGCCGACGACGACGGAGTACCCTCGAGGAATCCCTCTCCCTCTTCTTCTGGGCTCCCCTCCTCGTCCTTTCCTCCCATGGAGTGTTTGGTTGACGGGATCTTGGATTCCTCGGCAGCCGCGCCCTCGCTGATGGCGACATGAACCACCACATCTGTCTCATATTCCGACACCGGATCGCCGTTAACACGACGATGTCTGAAACTTTACCCAAAAAAAGAAACCATAAAAAACAATTAGTATTATAAAATGATATCATCTTCGCGATAAACATGGAATCACGATGGCTGTTCTATGCCCATGTTACCGGGGGAGGTGGTTCTCCGCCGGCGGTGGAAGAGGAGGCCGAGATGGAGGAGATCCTTGGGAAACCAGGGGAAGAGATCGGGGTTCTCTCTCCTCTCCCATTGCCGTCTCCTCCCCGGCGCCACCGGGGGCGTCTGTTCCTCCGTCCTCGTCCTTCGATGGTCTCTGCGCCTTCTTCTTCTTCCTGTTCCTCGTGGCTGCGACGGCAACGAGAGCAACCCCCACGGCGGCCGCCGCTGCTATAGCTCCATGTCGCAGCGCAAGCCCACCGACGCCGCCTTCCGCCCTCAGCGCCGTCTTCTTCCGCTTCCCCTCCACCGCAGCTCCCTCCATCCCTGGTGGCTGTCTCTCTCTCTCTCTCTCTCTCTCGCTGGATGGTAAATACGGGCACTGAAACTGAGAACCGAAACTGACGGCGGGGAGAGATGGCGCAGTCTTCTTCTCCGCCCGCCCTTCGCTCTTCGGTGGCGCCTCCTTGTGAACCACGTGGCATTGCGTTGACCACCTCAGTCAGCGGTGGGGAGCTCTGGCAGTTTTTTTACGGTCGGATGGAAGTATATGATTTGTTCTTGGGGCTCCCCATATCACGGCAATGATCTCCACCTTGATCGTTGCTGTAAAACCGAGGGCGTTTCAACAAAATAAGTTATACAAGGACTAAAATAAAAATATCCAAATAACAATAGGCCCATTTTTAATGATGACGAAGGCCCACTGGCAGGTGATCCCACTCTGCAGCCAGCCCAGGCCTATCTCCGCCAACTGGACCCATACGTAGCACTTCAGTGGCACAACCGTAATACATATTTTCATGAATTTTCGTGTCGTCTTTGTCGTCTTCCTTGGGGCGGTTAGACTTTCTGGGGCCCTCGCCACTTGTCCCTATCGCCTCCCCCACCACACCTTCTCCAAAGATCGCTCTTTTTTTTTGTGCTTCTTGCAGAATAAATCGAGTGGGGACTTCGAAGGCGAGGAGTAAGTCGGCGGCGAGCTCCTCCGCTCTCTTGCCGCTGCAGTCTGCCTTCGACGACCGACGATCCCACTGGTCGCCTTCTTTAGAGAGAGAGAGAGAGAGGCAAGGATGTGCGGAGGAGCCATCATCTCGGAGTTCATAGCCTTCAGGGAGGCGACCCTCCGGCGGCGCGGGGACCCGACGAAGGAGGGGCTTACCTCGTCCATGGGCGGCGGTGGCGCTAGCCGTTGTTCCAGCTTCGAAGGTCGCCAGCAAGGTAATCGTCCCTCAACCGCGACCCGTTCCCCCTTCCCACTGTATCCGTATTCTCCTGTTGAACTCTGATGGACCTTCGAACAGGAGATAGTGACCTCTCGCCGCCGGCGCCGGAGAAGAAGAAGGAGAAGAACGTGTACAGGGGCATCCGGCGGAGGGCACGGGGGAAGTGGGCGGCGGAGATTAGAGACCCAAGGAAGGGCGTGAGGGTCTGGCTCGGCACCTACAGCAGCCCCGAAGACGCAGCCCGCGCCTACGACGCCGCCGCGCGCGAGATACGCGGGAAGAAGGCGAAGCTCAACTTCCCCGCCGGGAAGCCGGCGGCGCCGTCGGCGCCGTCGGCTCCGGTGAAATCTGACGGTCCCGTGGCGGCGGAGCGCCGCCCGTCCGATGCCCAGGTGAAGCAGCGGATCTCAAGCCTAGAACACCTGCTGGGCCTGGAACCCGAGGAGGAGCCTCGCGGAGACGAGGCGGCGGCGATCGGCGGCGGCGGCGGAGCTCTAGACGCTCTCGATCTCTCCGACGACGTCGCCATGGCCTTGGAGAGCAACCATCACTTGCTGGACTTGTTGCATAATCTCTGATTGGGAAAATTTCAGAAAACACCCTCCCTCTGGAATGGGTAGAGAGAGAGAGAGAGAGAGAGAATGTGTGCGTGGGGTTACTTCCACCTACCACACACTCTCCACTCGACCGATCTATGCGTGTGATAAAAGCCTAAAATAGTAAATTCTTAGGCTTATATCGTCAGTAATAGAATGGCACTCGCATTATAATTAATAAATAAAAGCAAAGTTGTTACATTACTCTGAGTTATTTCCACGATAGAACCCAAAAGTGAGCATACGCTCTCGAGGGCAATGCGGGTAAAATAATATCACCCAATATTATTTAAGTTAATGCGCGTGACTTCATAAGGAATTAGCAACCATCCACATCCTCGCATGTCTCACCACCCAAATTTATTTAATTATTTTATTTTAATCGTAGTTACGTTATTACATGACAATATTTAAAGTTTTGTATTATATAAAAATGAAAATAGCGTAATTTCGGGGGTGAGAGGAGATAGTCCAAAACTATTTGGGAATTAAAATTATATTATTTTTTATTGAATAAAACGAGACAAAACCAAGATCATTATCAAATATTCCTCCAAACCCTTCCTCATGCTCGTCACGTGCCTTTTTGCAGGACACGTGGGACGTCCGTGGATGGATAAACCCTATTGGTTGGTTCCCCCGGTTTTGGCTCTCGATGTCAACATCAAATTATTAATAAATAAATACAAATCAGTGGCACTTGGGAGGGCGCACTTCCCGATTCTAATCGACGGTGCACATTGTTGAAACTTGCTACGTCATCCGTCGGGTGGGGAGAGGATGTCGTCATGTCGTCTTCAACAGTCTCCGCCAGTCGTCCTCCGTGGCCACGTCCGAGGTTGACCCATTGTTGTGGTCCCCATCCTCCTCCCTCTTCCCGAGTTGACTAGTCGGGTCGAGGTGGACCAGAGTGGGCCGATAAAGCTAACGTAGTTTCTCGCCCACTATGTGGGTTGAGCCTCTGACTAGAATCGGCCCATTAAAAAGCCCATACCGCAATTATATCCCCTAGTGCATGTAGTCTAACAGCCCATGCGAAATATATTTTTCTACCGATAAATAGAAAAATAAAAATAATACTTTTAAAATGGAAAATTAAAAAAAAAATATAATAACGTAAAATAAGATACAATAGGGTGACTGTATCGTGAAATGAAGGCTCTGGGCTTCTTCGACGCGACCGGTTGTCACCTGTTGTCGGAATGATAAGATCCGTCGTTGACTATCTTTTGTTATGGGTGTGATGACGTCATCGATGACATCATCATAAGGGTACGGACAGTGCAAGGGAAACTTCGGATGCGATCAACGTAGGGATGAAGTCAAAGTTTTTGGTCTCACCTGCAGACGATGGGAGAGAGAAAAGTGAAAAACCTGCGTGCGGAAAACGATGTGCCGCCGTTTGGATTCCATTGGTTTGACCAGTTCAACCAGCAAGAGAGAGAGAGAGAGAGAGAGGGATTTATAAATAAAAGTTTATAATATGGGTATTTAAGCTTGTCTCGTTAAATTAATTTTTTTGTGGTATACGATGCTAATTATCACGTCACGAGCGGGCATTAGAAGCTCTCTCGAGTCCGCGTTCTCCTATACCACTCTAAGTTGGTGAGCCGCCAGAGGCCTACCAAAAAACGTATGGGCTCACCCGCAAGGCGACAACGCGGTCGGTCGACCGGGTAATGGTCAACGCGCCGCAATACTAGAGAGAGAGAGAGAGGGGAAGAAAGCTATATAGCGGCTACCTGTCTGTCCATTGACAGCACCAGAACCCCCATCATCTTCCTTCCTCCTCTCTGCTGTCTCCATAGAATCCTCAGTCGAACCCACCGGCCAGGAAGCAGAAGAAGAAGAAGAAGAAGAAGAAGAAGAAGAAGAAGAAGAAGAGGAAAATGTGCGGCGGCGCGATACTGGCCGATCTCATCCCCTCGCGAGGGAGCAGCAGCTCGTGGCTCCGGCAGGAACAAGTCTCCCCCTCCGACCTGTGGCCCAGCTCCCCCTTGGCCGAGAAGCAGGTCCCGCGCCGCCGCCGCAAGGTGGAGAGGAAGAACCTCTACCGGGGGATCCGCCGGCGGCCGTGGGGGAAGTGGGCGGCGGAAATCAGAGACCCCAGGAAGGGCCTCCGCGTCTGGCTCGGTACCTACGACTCCGCCGAGGAGGCCGCTCGCGCCTACGACCGGGAAGCCCGCCGAATCCGCGGCTGCAAGGCCAAAGTCAACTTCCCCAACGAGGAGAACGAATCCTACAGCTACGTTGCGCCGCCGGTGAACGGCGGCGCCGCCGCTGACGCTGCCTTCTTCGAGTCCGCCGGCAGCCTACTTCCTCCCCAAGCGCCCGCTCCGCCGTTGGCGACGGCGGCGCCGCCTGCCGCAACTGCAGAGGAGCTGTCGGAGGAGCTGCAGGCCTTCGAGGCGTACATGAGCTTCCTAGACATCCCCTACATGGAAGGCGGCGACGTCGGCAGCGAGCAGCGGTCGTCGAATCTCGTCCCCAACGCATGCATGCAGGAATCATCATTACAGCTGTGGAGCTTCGATGACGTCCACTCCGTCACCTTCTAATCCTCTCTCTCTCTCTCTCTCTCTCGCTCTAACAAAGTGGAGGATTCCTTCTTACCAGGAGAAGCACAAACCCACGAGTGGTTCTTCTGTCTCACGAATAATAGCAAGCCCGATACGTTAATTCATCTGTAATTTATTTGTTGATTCTCACTGTAGTCGTTGGGACCAAGGATTCGTTATTCCTGATTTATTCCTGTTTTCAGTATTGTGGGCGTGCCTATAAATCCCAATTAATCAATTCTTCCTTTCTTGTTGAAGAACACAGACCCCTCTCTCTCTCTCTCTCTCTTCCGTTTTCCGGGCTTTTTTCTCGGCTGGAGAGAGTCTGGGCCATGTGAAAAAAATGCCCAGGCCCAGCATTTCAGAATGTGCGTGTGTGCTTGTGTGTGTGTGTGTGTGTGTGTGTGTGTGAGAGAGAGAGAGAGAGAGAGAGAGAGAGAGAGAGAGAGAGAGAGAGAGAGAGAGAGAGGATGTCAATAATGGATATCATTATTGACGTTTTTATTCTGCATTTTTTTAAAAAATTATATAGGTGAGGTGGCATCACCTCAGGTGCAGCAAGAGCGACTGTGGCTTCTCGATCAGCGACTTCCACTCGTTGCAGAATCTGGCGACCGTTGCTCCATCCACCACCCTATGATCAGCTCCAACCACAACCTACCACGATCGGACGAGTATCCACACGTATTTATTTTTTTCTGTTCACGAATAGGCTGGTCGTATAGGGCAGAAAAATCAGGTCTACGGATTAGTGTTCTTACGTTGGCGATGGCGGCGGGGTGTACTGCACCGTCGGATCTGAAGCGGGGGAGTTTCCGGATCCGCCCGAGGGCGATGATGGCGACTTCGGGGGAGTTGATGAGGGGGGTTCCGGATGTCCCGCCGATGGAGCCGATGTTGCTCAGGGTCAACGTGCCGCCGGCGATGTCCTCGGAATGCAGCTTGTTCTTCGCCGCCAGTTGCTGCAGCCGCATCAGTTCTTTCGTGATCTGCCCAAAAGACGAGAGATTCAATCTCCTACTGCATCGTAACTAGAGCAGTGGTATTTACGAATCGCCCAAGACGATGAACATGAATCGCCTAACAAAGCTTAAACCATCTCCCCACTTAGAAAGGAGGTAATTGAGAGAGAGAGAGAGAGAGAGAGAGAGAGAGAGAGAGAGAGAGAGAGAGAGAGCCAAATATGGGAAAATTTTCGAACCAGTTTATGGGTCGAAGTTGCATCGAATGAGTGGCGGAGCAAAAGAGGAAATTTAAGTTCATAGAGTCGGTTCTAATAGAATTTTTTGAAGCTCTGAGATATGGAAGCGTGTGGGTGTGATGTATGAGAAGAGCAGGATTATGCGGTCTTTCGAAGGAGAGAGTAGTGTGAGTACCTCCAGGACAGAGAGAGACTGAACCTTCTTTATGTTCGGCACCGCCAAACCATGTGGGGTGGCCATGGCGACACCGATGTTATGGGACCCTGCATTCATCCCAAGGAAGAAAAAAAAAATAAGAACATAGAAATCCAGAAACCACAACTAAGCCTGGGTAATAATTTATTGCAGTCCAGGGCTGGAAACCTTCTCGTGGAACCTCTCCAAGATTGGAAACCCAAAATAATAATAATAATAAATAAAATTCGAAAGGAAAGCCGATGCAGATCAAGATCAAGCCCTTATGTGGAATACCCAGAGAAAAAAATCAAGAACGAAGTCTGAATGCTGGAAATGGTAATATCGGGCTCAGATCTTGGACAAGAACTTGGGAGCAAGAGCATCGTGCTTCATTAGAAGGACCATGTATCTAATATTTGAAAATTTTTGAGGTAAAAAAGGAATTTAAACATCTTATATGCAGTGAGGATGCAATAACAAAACCGAGAGAAAAGCAATGGCAGTATGCACTCGCAGTTCAATCCGTAAGTAATATAAGACGGACGAGTAAAGTTTAATCATGGGAAAAATCTGTCTTGCTGGTCCGAATGGGACAAGAAGAGTCGGATTTCGGGTCACCATATTATTTTCTTTCAGAGACGTCAGAGTTCGAGTTGACATTTTTGAGTCTTCTTCTTCTTCCCCCAATGCATCCAATCTAAGAAAATATGGACAGATTTTGACCGTCGCCACAAGCAAGAGAATAATGTGAAAGAGAAAAAAAATGTGAAGATGCTTCAGAGAGTCAACATTTTTGAAACGACAGAAAGACAAAGTCAACCAGATGAAATCTATAAGATACAGTCAACATCTATAAGGTTTTTGCAAAATGGTGAGAAGAATACCTTTGAGGATGAGCTCATTTGTTTCCTCGATGAATGAGCTATTTAATAAAGGGTGCCTCTCCAAAGCTACGGAAAGTGACTTTATCAGAAATGGAAGATATGTGTGTTTGATGTCAGGATCAGTATTCTCCTCTTTGAATGCCTCTTTCAATTTAACAAGGGCATCAAAGTTTATCTCTTCAATATAATGAAAATGTGGTATATTCGCAGCCATGGACATGGATTTAACCATTGCCCGCTGAAATCCTCTGAAAAGTGGCAAAAAATCAGAACTATTAAGGCCCTTGAGGTTCAAATATTTAATACATTGAAGAATGGCATCCAGTCTTTATGCAGTAACATGAAAAAGTGTCTTACGTGAGATGCATTGTCTTATCTTCATAAGTTGGCCCATCCGTAGTGCTGCTCCCTTGTGTAGTTTTCTCCTCTTGAAACAAGGACTCCTCTTCAGCCACTCCATGCAGGCTGGAGGATGACTCCACCACAATACCTCTGCTAACAGCATAACTAATCACATCTTCTTTCAAAACCCGACCACTCTTACCGGTTCCCTTGATGTCATTTATATTTAGACCATATTTCCTTGCAAGATGCCGAACAGATGGCGTCGATACAACACCCCTTGTTGTCTCTTCATTGAGCAGTGAATACTGAGAATTTGATTCACATTCATGGGAATTTAAACTGTTTGTGTCACCAAAACTCTCAACACTAGGAACTGACGCCTCTTTCTCTTCCAACATTATCTTCAACAGAGTTTCTCCCACCTAAAATTACGGGAAAACAAAAGGTCATTCAAAATGTATAAAGTATATCATAGAAACATTTAAAAATCTACAAATCTACACATCACCGCATTCTCATGATCATTAAGTTAAAATGATTATTCCCTCGCTGATGATTTACTAGATTATTTACCATGCTTTTCACTTTCTATTTATGTTAGAAGGACGATAACACCTTTGTAGACATTTTTACTATCCCAGTAACCAGCTTACAGAAAGAAAGGATCCAAGCGTTTATTCAGAGCTATATACTGTCGCAACAGGAGCAGACTGGCATCAGAATAGACAGGAACGAAGGCAGGGGATGGCCCTGCTGTGACCACATGGGAGTCCCTTCGATTCAAAGCCTGTTTTGAGAACATATTATCGTTAAATTCAGCATTAATGGGTGGCATCAAACACTCATCATAGATTACCATATATAGCCAGCTCAGTGCTGCAGAAAGTGAAAAAACCGTGGCAGATCTTAGTCTGACTTGGCTCTGGTTCATACATCTTTACTGAGAACTCTTTTAAAACAAAATATACCCTCTAAAAAAGCTTCAATACTTGTCACATGCATGGGCTCATCTTGATTAACCAAGTCCACAGATTAAGAAAAATACTCTCACAGTCACTCATGATAGGCTGAGGCCAATTACTGATGAAGATATCAGATTAACACATATTAGTCAAGAAATAAAAGGGAAATACACTCGTTAACACGCCTTACTGATTCCAAACACAAACGTAACTTGGTATATCAATATTTAGTTACTCTGGGTAAAACGCAGTAAACACCAGTCTTGTCATGTGTTAAAAAACGTAAGAAAACATGACAGTAAAGTGATAAAACTACTTTTAACATCAATGAAGAGCTACACGCAGCGATTGACATTCAGATTTACCACGTTGGCATAAAGGTCCATCTCCCAGAGAACTCCATGACACCAACGAAAATTCATACTCAGGATTACAAGTCAGAGAACGAAAGCAATCCACAGTCAGCAGATGATTAAGTGCATCCAAGGGAAGGAAAAACATAAATCATCTGTAGTCTGCAAGGACCACCTTCACTACGTCTCCAGGGACAAACAAAATCTGCTGAATTTTCCCCTTGTAACGACTTGTAATCTCAATTGTTGCTTTATCACTCTGTACTTCACAAAGGCGTTGAAATTCATCGACATTTTCTCCCTGAAAATTGAAAACTCATAATATTCAGTAAAAAAGCGAGGAGTATGCAAATTATAAAATTACCAAAACTGTTAAAAACATTTTTTTTAATGCAAATCATAAACAATAGCGTGGTTAGGAGAATTTTTGCAATATCCCTCCGAAAATCAAATGTACAGAATAACTTAAATTAAGAAAGGGTAATTGACTGAAACCTTAGGACCGAGGTTATCAAAAAAACCAGGTAGAATAATTTTTTTATTTTTATTTTTTTTCCTTGGGTTGTTGGTGCTGCTATCCTATCGTACCATACTCTTATTTTCGTCCTTCATCAGCAAGATGCTCTAACAGAGATTAAAGAGAGATGCAAAAGGGTATGTTAGAATGACAAGTTGGTCCAAATTATCTGAACAATACCTGATCGGTTTATTTTTTTCCCAATTCGAATTTTCATCCTTCTTATAAATCAGATCAGAGTACCCCAACGCAGGCCAGATTCGGGTTATGCATGTCATAATTGCCCAATTTTTCTGACCTGCTAGAAGGCATCACATAGATTTTTCCTCAAATCCAGATTTGTGAAAGTAAACCCGAGGCCAGGACAAAGAGGATAAAAACAGGGTTCCTGAAGAATGCTTAAGTTAGAAAAGCCAGATCAGAATTCCGGATTTAGTAACTTCATCTAAAATGAAAATTATAGGGGAAAGAACGTTCTGCACAGCCACTCTCATGTTTGTGCCTTCTTCCAAGGGAAATGGACCCCAGGATCATAATGACAAAGATTCAGAAGAAATCATCCCAAACATGAAAGAGCACAACATGAAAGGGTGAAATTCTATTTTCAAAATACATCATTCTTCCGAAATTAAGGCCAATGATATATTCTATGAAAGTATGCATTCAAAGACCAGAACTTATGAAGTAATTCTACACGGTTAGACAGGTCAAAATCCAACTTGAGGAAAACATATGAATGATAAACTTGTTCCCATTCTAGAGCCCATTTTCACATATGGTTACAGAACAAGGATTTTATGGCTGCATGTCTACATTCCAAGTCAAATGCAAGTTAATTGCTAGAGCAAATCCCAAATTTCCACGAAGAAATGTAAGCATGGATCTTGCAAGACAAATTTGTGTATATGATTAATCCCTGTCATTTAACAACTTCGATCAGCTCACCTCGTGAACAAACCATTTAAGGAGCTCGCACTCAGCAATGCCTTCGCCAGTTTGGGCCAGCGGCACATCAACTACAGCCCCAGCAGGTGGATCGACCCACCCCTGGCTGGAGAAATGTCGTGACGTTTTTGAGGAATGCAAGGTATTTAACTGAAAACGAAACAGCGATCATGGTGACCTTAAGTTATCTCCATTCCAAGACGAAAATACATATCGAAGGAGATCATAGATAGCACAAGGAAAATTATTCAAAAAGGTACGGACATTGCGAAAACTCTTGAGAATTATGAAGGTTTCGTCCGAGAAACAAAGGATAGGAAGTTCATATGTCTGCGATCGATAAGAAAAACCAGATAATAGAATAACCTCAGTTGAAAGAGCCAGGATGCATTACCATGCGTTTCTGGACGAAATGAGAACGCCTTCCATCACGATCTATGGGGTATGGGAAACCAACCGGACAAGGATACCAAGGAGACATCGAATCCACTCCCTGCAGCAGCGGAAGGAGACGGTGCAATGGCTCCTCATGAGAGCAGCGCAACCAAAACGATCGCGCCACCGTCGTTGCATCGCGGCGGAAAACGCGTCGCCAGGCCATCCGTCCAGCACCACTGCAAGAAAGGATGTGATCGAGGGACGTCGAGGAGGAAGGACTCGGGGATCAGAGGAAGGAGAAAGATCCGCTCTCCCGCAGCAGACGGCTCTCGTTTTCGCGGGAAGCCGCAGTATGCTCTCCTGGTAGGAGATAGCACGAGATCCGCTTGAACAACAACTATTTAAATACTCTAATAAATATGATTTAAAAGGACAGAATCATAACTTTTTTATTTCGACATAAGCCTTCACTAATAGGACAACCTTTCTTTAAGCCAAAACGGTGAAAGCATATATACAATTATTATTAAATAAGGTTATTAATGAAATTTTTTCTCTCGGTGAGAGGTCTTAGAGACGTAAGCCCGCAAGAGAACCGCAGGAACACGGGACCCGTCAGCTTCGGAGGATAAGCCGAGAGGAACTGACCGTACGCTGACGTGGCTATGACTCCAATGAGGGACGCGAGTTTATCTCGCCACGTGGTGGCGACTCCTCAACGCGCTCATCGTCTTATTGGTCAAAATCATTCTCTCTCTCTCTCTCTCTCTCTCTCTCGGTACGAATACGTTTTCCGAGATAGAAAGATACTAAAACTATTTGGTTACCATATATGTTAAAACTTTACCATACGAAGGAATGGGCAAATAAAACAAGCCCAAAAAGGAAATGTGGCCCGCTTCTGGCCTAAGAGAGGCTCATGAGGCCCAATAAAATCTTGATTCAGCGGCCCATTTTCAGAAATCCCACTAAAACAAAGGCCCAAGTTCTCTCCCATGGTTTCTCTCTTAAAAATCCTCCCACTACATCCTTCCTTTTATAATGGGCTCAAATTTGGCCCTGATTGGGCCATATCAGCCCGGATATGATCGGGCTTACGGCCCGTTGGAAACTCTTTGACATGATATTTGTCATTTAGTCCCTAACATTATTTAAATATATTATATGCTCCCATAAGGTCCTTTGGCTGTGACGTCTGTTGATAGTCGTATGCAGTAATTTAGAATTTTTAAAGATTGTGGGGGAAAAAATAAAAAAATGTACAAATTGATTTTATTTGCCATATTTTTCGTTAGAAGAACGGCGACAGGTAGAGGGGAGGCAGAGAGAGAGAGAGAGTGGGTAGTCGAAATGGCGGAGCATCAACCAAATACCGCGCCGGCGCCACCGCCGCAGCAGTCGCACGAACAGCACAACCAGTTGCAGCCTCAGTCTCAGCAGCAGCCGCTACCCGGCTCCCCGCGGGAGGACACGATGGCGTCGTGCGTCGCGGCTATGGAAGCGGCGCTGCTTCCCTGCCTTCCCGCGCGTGAACTTCAAGCGATAGATCGCTCTGCCCATTCTTCCCATCAAAGTACGTTGTATCCTCTCCACACACCGTTGTCCTCCGCAGATCGTTTTATCTTCTGGTGTTGTTCTTTGAGTTAAAATTGAGAACCAGGCTTTGAGTCGTGGATCTCGTGCGCTTAATCCAGGAGCGAAATGGCTAACATATGCTATTGAATTTTTTATTGATTAAGCACAAAAATCTAGCATAGGTAACCGAAATGGCCCGAATGATGTGTGAATTTGACTGAAATGCGTGAGAGATGTCATAGTTTCGTTGTAAGTCACATGAACAATAATAGTAAGGTCACCGAATTGGGTTTGCTTTATTTCACGATCTGTCGTATTATGGGTGGAATTGAGGCATGGTTTCAATTTTAGGCGATTGAAAACAAGTAGAGATGTCATTTAGAAGTCTGTTATAGGATAGGGTTAGGGAATAATCTTAATATCTGGACTTTCTAAGGACTTGAATGATTGGAAATACGAGAAGGTGATTTTACTAAAGTCGTGTATACAAGGAATTTAAAAATATTCTCAGAAAAAATTGGTACATTGTGTGAGGTTTATGAAGAGAATTTAGTTGAGCATGGGATAAAATATGTTTAACCAATCTCTATTAATGCCCCGACAAAACTTCAATTGCTTTTCTTCCGATGGTTTGGATTTATTCAAAGGGAGGTTGTCCAGGCTATTGAATGTAGGTGGCGCACTGATGAACTAGATAGAAATGTCGGGACTGAAAATGATCAGGTTAAAAGGGAAAAGTCGAATATCAAAGTTTTTTCACTTTGATAAAGTGTTGATAAAATCGTCCGTATGTCGGAGAAAGATTCGGTATTGTTAATAGTTCTAGCGTTGGATGTGAAATAATCTCATGACAGTTGCCTACAATGATTTATTATCTTTATTTTGCTTTTCTCCCCATACATTACTTGTGAGATAGCCCCTGCCTTCCTTTATTCCCAAGAAAAAACTCTCTGACACCCAGCTGAATTGCTGTATCCAAAAATGCGTCTATTAGCCTGATGATTTCTTGAGCCACAGGCTATCTCTAGCATCAGAATAAAGAAAGAGAAAGAATCCACCATCAGCAGTAAGTTGAGTGCTAGTGATATTTGAAGTAGCTTATAATTTTCACTTACTATTGAATTTTTTTTATGAATACAAAATTATATGTAAATAATATTTTAATATTTTTTGGATCCATTCTGCATCGCCCACTTTGCTGTGGAGATGTCATTACAGAGATTATCAAATACAAGATTATTGAATTTACAATAGCAACAGCTACTGGAAGCAGTATTTTTACCAAACGGTGACTGGGAATGGGCTTCGGTATTTCTTGAATGTAGTGAGCGTAATTACCCTCTTGAATTAAAGAAAAGTAGAGCACTGAGAACAGTGCGATCGGACAGCTAAAAGTCTCGGTCGTTACATCCAGTTTATGTCGCAAGATGATGATTATGTCTTTTAAAAGCAGCATGCAAGTGTGGGCAGGTCTGAAAGAAGATCTCACAGAACAGCATCCATGCAAAAAAGTGATGTGAAGTCCACGTGACAAATTTGTATTATGTATGGACCATATGTTGTATGTATACAGAGTTCAAAGTTTTTGTGCAAAGCCTGTCTTGTGTTTTAAACGATTTCTTTATTGAGTCGCTTGGTTCACTAATAAACTGATCACTCCAGGTTTAATCATTTCACTCCAAAAGGCTGTCTTTAATGAAAGAGGAATCCTTGCCCTTTGATCTGGTAAAAACATGGTAGCTGATCATTATGCCGCATTTCCACCTGCCCAACGGGCACCATAAATGGATACTTCTGAATGTGAGAGATCAGTCACTCATTTCATGGAGTGAATGTATTGTTAGAAGTAGAAATGGTTTCTAGCCAGAATTTTGTTTACTCTGAGCAAAACCAGTCATTACTTCATTCTTTTAAAAATGGACAGTATGGAATATGTGTTAAATATGCAAAGAGAGGAATCCATCAATGGGATTTCAGAAGGCCCAAAAGATCCAAAGGATTATTTCATCAGAGTTCCATACTTAGAAAACTTTTACATTTTACTCCCATACTGTTGATGACATTGCTGACCTTTCTGGAATCATCTTTGGCTCACCAATCAGTGACTTATTTACTAGGTTCCCAATCTGTTTCTAATCAAATTCTTTCTTATGATCAGACCTATTTCCGTCAGGCATGACACTGAAACAGTGATATATATATATATATATATATATATATATATTTCTACTGCTGCTGCATGTTAGCCCAAGATATCTTGTTTATTAATAAAATGTGGACCGTATCTTGGTAAATTGGAGATACTTAGGTTTAAAGAATGCGGTTTTTGTAAGCTCGTGAAATGTTTCATAGCTAGTCATGAAACTTTTGCCTTTGTTGATATCGTTGTATATTTATGCCTGCTTTCTCCTACTTGGCTTAGAAAGCATTTGACGATAGGCTTTGATACTTATACAGTTGATGTTGAAAGGCACGGCAGAGATTTCATGGAAGCTGCAAAGAAGCTCCAGCTGTATTTCGTCGGCCTTCAACATGAAGATCAACCCACAAGAGAAGAACTGCTTAAGAAGGTCTACTCGCTGTACCTTGTCCCTGTGGATATCTAATTCCTAATCTATGTATCGAAATCCCCACTTCAGTTAAGACCCAATTAAGATACTAAAATTAAATGAGTTTTTTCAGTTTTAGGGCCCCTGAAACGTCATGAATTAGAAAAAATCTTGGAAGATCCATCCACAGGAAAACAACGGTGTTATTATCATCTGTTTCCTTTATCTATGAATAAGAAGGCGAGCTTTGGTGAAAACACAAGAATGGCATAAAGATCAAATTAGGGTTTTCAGTTTTTATCCCCACAATGTATCCTGAATTGAAAAAAACCCTAGATAAGCTGAATTAAGAGGTGAGGCCCCACAAACTCCATGTTGTCAAATCATTCTCTTGGGGACCCTCAAATGATCCTTCTACTCCTCCCAGCCAATTCCAGAATAGTTTCCTCCCAAACGGGCATTGCTTGTTGTTCTCCCACCTCATGAAAATCTGGAGTGATTCTTACCGCCAAGAATCTGATATCCAGGAGATTGCCCTGATGGAGGAAGAACTAAAGACAAAGTCCGAGCTGATCACGAAGCATGAGGCGCTCATCCAGAGGTGGCAGAAGGAGCTGAAGGATCAGTTGGATAGGCACACCAACGAGCTAGAGAGAGTTTAGTCTTCCAAATTTATTCGCTCACATTCCCCCGTGTTTGATATTTTCTTCCACGAGATTCATACATCCATATGACATCTCTCTCTCTCTCTCTCTCTCTCTCTCTCTCTCTCCATTAAAGGGTAGCGGGATCTTTACAGTTGTCATTGAGCCTCAATTACTCTCGTAAGAGAAAGTGGGCCCAGGAGAGTTGTGGGGAACTGTTGAACACCTCAATACCTGGTAGGATTTTTCCGTGGTATTATTTTTCCTTCCCTTCTTCCCTCCTTTCCTCGATGTTCACTTGGGAGAAAAACCTCAGCACTGTTCATGATGACATGGAACAAATGGAAGAGAACTTGGCTCACTTGCTCAATTAGTTGATGCAGGGCATCAATAGGCTAGAGGCAAGATCGATACCTTCTGACATAGATGAAGTGATGGGCAAGTTGCACGAACTCCCTTGATAAAGTGAACCCCACATCAATCTAGACTAGACATCTAGAGCACCAATGGGCCCATTTACAGTGGTGGATCCTCATATGTGAACTAAGAAGCCAAGGATGGAACCTACTTAGAGATTCCCATATTCAACTTGGATAATCTAGCAGAGTGGGTGTTTCACATGGAACTCTACTTCAAGATGAATAGAACGGTGAAGGCTGACAAAATTTCTATAATGGTTACTAAGATGAGTGGCAAGGGTTTATCATGATAACTTTTGGATAGCATAATGATTTTTGTTCAAGAATTGATCAGACATTCGAACCCATCTACTATAATGTTTTGGGGATACCTTGTCAAGTAGTCTATATCGGTGGTTCCTCAAACCCAAGAGCAAACTATGGCAGAATATCAGCATGAATTCAAGGTACTTTTGGCTTTAGTCTTGGGGATTACTGCACAATATTAGAAAACACCTCTTTCAATGGATTGAGGACAAAATTGTGGTTGAAGTCAACATGTTCAAATCTAGAAATTTGTGAGACATAATGAACAATGGAGTGTCTGGAACACTATGAGTTAAATAAGGACAATGATCATACCATATCCCCACTTAGAGAGACCACTAGACCAAAGCTTGATAAGGCTGCTAAACCCCCTTTTGTATAGAAGAGGGGAATGGCCCATAGGTGGGGAACCATCAATGTGATTGGCCCCACGATGGAGCTCAACCCCTCACCAAAAGTCAAAAGTTAGCATAAAGCAAGTTTGATTAATTGAGTCTACGTGGTAGGCTAGAAAGACAAATGTTTTATGTTTCTATTACGACAAGTAGTTCAACCATGAGCACCATAACAAAAAAGAGTTGTAGATCTTGTTGGTCCACAAAGCAAGATGAAATGTCAAGTGGGCAAGCAGATGAGAATCGGGAGAGATCCTCTAGGGTGGAAGTCTCCCTGAATATAGTGATAAGTTTGACAACACATTAAAAGTCATATGTCGGTTACATTCTAGTGATATGCCTATCTTAATTGACTTCAAAACTACCCTCAATTTTATTTCAAACTATTTAATTTAAACCTTGCATATGCAAATAAACAACACTATCAATTATAGAGGAAGGGGGATATGCATGAGAATAAACCTCATAGTGTATGAATTGTGCATAACGAAAAGCGTCCTACCCCTGGAACGAAGTATTTGAGACTTGCCATTCAAATTCAATGGTTACTAACATTAGGTTACACAACAATACATTAAGGCTACTGATAATGAATTTTAAAATGGGCAGTGATAACATGCTATTTATGCATGTAATTATATAATTATTAATGCAAATTTAGGCATTAATCATTACAAATATATGCATGTTATCATATTTTAAGTATATTTCTATCATTTTGTGTAAATTCATGTTATGATCTTAAAATACACCAAATTATGGATTATTATAAATAATTACACATTACAATCTTTAATCCTAATTATATTTATGATCATAATCATGTTTTAAGAGTGAAAATATGAGAGAAAAGATATTTATTAACATTTATGTATTTATATAAATTTATTTTATATAATACATAAATTTATAAAAGTAATTAAAATTTATTCTCTTCTTATTTTAATAATTTGAGCTTTTATAATGGTAGATTATTCAATTTTGAATCCAACAAAACAAATTTGAATTAATTTGGAGTCGTATTTTGAAAGTTATGATTTTTACAATTTTATAGAATTTTCTGGAATTTTTCTGAATTTATTTATATTTATTTTCGATTTTTAAATGTTTTAAATTAATTAAAAAATCACAAAAAGGGGTTATATGTCGCGCGTGTACACGTGGATGCGACGTGGTACTCGGGGCCACGTGGCTCTGCCACGTGGACAGCACGCGGGTGCCTGCGTGGTGCTGATGTGACACATGGCGTATTTATAATTACTATATATATTTATTTAATAAAGTATATAGGTCTTCCGATTATCGGAAGACAGTATTAATCCCTCTTAATCGTCATATCTTATATACCCGAATATACTCCTTTGTTTTTCCCGTGTGGGACTAAAGTCTCTTAATTTTCTTATGTGCAGGACACGTGGCGTGATCTTGTGCATCTGATCGACATCGCGACAAATAGCGTGCATAGATCACGTGGAATCGAGGTCCACGCGATCAGAGATCAACCACGTGCCTAAATACTCACTTAAGTGAATAAATCGTGACCGTCTGATCGAGAGTTATAATGGTCCAGATTATTCACATCAGATGGACATCCAATCACATCTTAACCGCACGATCACGATCGGACGATCGTCGAATCGTTGCGACGATTCGTGAAGAGGCATCTCATCGCGATCGTCCATCGCGATCAACTCCATCAGATCGGACGGCCACGATCATTTCCGAATTTTATAAAATCTGTTCTTCGCGACGGAAGAACTGCCCCCGATCAATCTTCAAATTCTCTTTGTTTAGAGCTCCAATTCGCGTGCCATCTTTTGCATTGTGTTCGCAACTCATTTCCGCTTCTGTTGGATGTTTAATTTCAATGTTTGATTGAAAGAATTGGAAGAAATCAAGTCTTGAACTCCTCTTTCGTCTTCGAAAATTCGGAATGAAAAGCCTTGCATCCGGCGATTAATTGGATCATTTCGAAGGCTAATTTGGGTTAGATTGTTTGTTTTCATCTTAATCTTTCATCATTTAGTGTTAATTTTACTTTAAGTATTGTAGATTAAGTTTAATTTAGTTTTAATTTCTGTTTTTAATCATTTCGCGATACGAAAATTTTTCTTAACTTCAAACTTCGATTACTCTACGAATTCTCATCCAAATCACCTGATTTTTGATTCCGTGGATTCGAAATTGATTATCTTTCTTAATATACTAAATTTCCCAATTTCTAACCTAATTTCATCGTCCGATTTGACCGAATTTCAAAGATATCTCTCAAATTTCCCTAATTCTCCGTGGATTCGACCCTTAATTACCATTATACTAATTAATTACTTTGATTAATCATAAATTGGTAAGATTATGACTTTTTTTTGACACTGAATCGTGTGCATTCAACGACCATACGATTTAGTCTCGTCAAATGGCGCCGTTGCTGGGGAATTAAGGCATATTTTTGAGTAAAATCATCGATTTTGACTCAGTCAACTCTGATTTTTCTGTTTCTTTTTTTGATTTTAATCCAAATTGATCCTACACTGAGCTATTTGTAGCAGAAATATATCGTTTAGATACTCAATTTCGACGAGATTAAGTGATTAGTCCCTCTCTACGGACGATGGACAATCATCGCGTCATACTCGAATTGGGAGAGCGTAACTCTGACGAATAGCGACAATCAGGTACGATTAAATTTGTCATTGTTGAATAATTTTATAGTATCTCTTCTTAGTATTATTATATTATATATATTTGTGCATATTTATGAGACGAGAGTCTGATTGGAGAACGAGGGATAATCCTTTACACTTAGATCTTTTTGAACGTTCCTCGCAATCACTTTCATCTTCCGCGTCATCATCGACCTTAGATATGGCCCTGAATGATGAGGGAAATGTTAGGAGACGCCTGAGTGATTATGCTAGGCCTGTTCTTCAAAGACCCGTTACTCGTATTCATGCACCCTTAGCTAGAAATGCGAATTTTAGGATAGATTCGCATGTGATGAGTATGTTACCTATCTTCCATGGTAAACCTTCCGAGGATCCTTATAGACACTATGTCAAGTATGTGAGATTAATCAGATTCATAATGTGTCGGCAGATGTAATGAAGATGAAACTCTTTCCCGCCACCCTTAGAGATAGAGCTAAGGATTGGTTTCTTAAGTTAGGAAAGGAGTTCACTTCTTGGACCGAGATGGAGGAGGAATTTCTTAGGAAATACTATTCCGTAGGAAAGACCACCTCTGTTAGGAAGGCGATGCGTGAGTTTACCCAAGGACCGAGTGAGACATTTCACGAAGTTTGGGAGAGACTTAGAGACCTCACTAGAGAGTGCCCTCACCATGGAGTGTCTAACCATGAGCTTACATAGATATTTTATGATGGGTTAGGCCCGCAAGATAGATATCTTTTAGATGCAGCTAGCGGCGGCACCTTCATGAGCAAATTTGAAGATGAAGCAATGGAATTGATTGAGACTGTGGCGGAAAATAGCCACCACAACTCGGCAAAACCATTCGGAAGTGGTGCAACGCCGAAAGGAGGATTAATCGACGCAAAGGCGGTAGAGACGGGCATGCTCCTAGAGAAGATCGACAAGATGGCGGAGGTTCAGAATCTTTTATTAGATCGGTTCCACATCCGCAATGGATCTGAAGGACTTGCACCCGTCGCTCTACAAGAAGCGTCGCCATGCGCCCATTGCTCACGCCTCGACTACGTCGAGATGGATTGTCCGATCATGGCAATTCAAGGGCAGGGCATGTACAGACAAGGCCCACCAGGAGGGCAAATTCAACAAGGACGACCGAACTATCAAGGTACATATCCAAATTATTTTAATAACCCTATTTATAATCCTATGCAGCAGCAGCAAGGATTTAGCACCGGTCAGCAACAAAACTCGCAACAGCAACCCTACGCGAATGCAAGACAGTCGACGTATATTCCACCACAGCAGTCGTACAACCAAGCTCCACGACCGACCACACCATCTGCAGATCCGATTCTGGGTGCGCTCTCTCAATTGATGGAGCAAATGAGCAGGATGAACTCGCGTGTGGACGAGATACAGGATTTCGTCAAGACGAACATCCCTACCTCGACTGACAACAAGAAGGGTAAGCAAGTTTCGTTTTCTGACCAATTACCATCGCAGGCCACTATCAACCCGAGGAATCAAGGGTCCTCATCGAGTCAAACGCACAATCTGAGTCATGTGCATGTTGACGAGGAGGAAGTGGAAGCTGCATTAGCGATATCGAGCCTTAGGAGCGGCAAGGATTTACCTGATCCTTACAAGGATCATCCTTTACATAAGAGCTCGATAGATGATGAGACACCGACAGTCGTAGTAGAGCCAGACAGTAGTTTAGATGATGAGGAAGAACGGGTGCAAGTTGAGCTAAATCCAGACACATACAAACCACCCATGCCATATCCTCAAGCATTGAGTAAGCCTAAGGCTAAGGTTAGTGAATCTGATGATCATTTATTAGAAACCTTCCAAAAGGTTACCATTACCATCCCTTTAGTAGATGCAATTAAGCATATACCTTCTTATGCTAAATTCCTTAAAGGCATATGCACACACCATAGAAGCCCCAAGAGGATCCAATTGAGTGAGAATATTAGTTCCATTATGATGAATTCTCTTCCTATTAAAAAGAGAGATCCAGGAGCTCCCATGATTACGAGTGAGATTGGAGGAATGATTTTTACTAGATCGTTGTTAGATACTAGAGCTAGTATCAATATCCTCCCTAAAGTTGTATATGACCGTCATCATGTAGGGGAATTGCAGCCTTTCCTTATAGAGTTATGTTTAGTGGATGGATCGGTAAGGAAGCCTCATGGCATAGTAGAAGATGTGATTGTTAGAATAGAAGGATGTTATTTTTCGGTAGACTTCCTAGTTGTAGATATGAAGATCACTAAGGAGCTTAGTCAAGCCCTAATTATCCTAGGAAGACCTTTCTTAGCTACCGCAAAAGCCGTTACAGATTGGGGAAAAGGAGAAGTGATTCTTAAGGTGGGAGAGTATACGGTGAAGGTCAACATCAACAAGTTGATGAAGTATCCTTCACAAGCTTTCGAAGATTTGGGCGCCATCGACCTATTTGATGATCAAGACATAGAGACTTGCATCGAAGAAGTCATGACGGTCAACGAGGGAGCTGATTTCGAAGAGCTACCGTTGGACGATCCGACAGGGGAGCTCAAGCCTCTTCCATCTACACTCAAGTACGCTTTCCTTGACTCTCAGCAGGTTAAACCAGTGATCATTTCTTCCCAGCTCAATGAGGAGCAAGAGAAATGATTACTCGACGTATTACGATGGAATGAGCAAGCAATCGGATGGACTCTAGCAGATTTGAGGAGATTAGACCCTTCATTATGCACTCATTGCATATTCTTGGAGGACGAGTCCAGACCCGTGAGGGAAGCCCAACGCCGACTTAATCCTAAGGTATGGGAAGCCGTTAAGGAAGAGATTCTTAAGTGGCTTAATGCAGAGATTATCTATCCCATATTGGATAGCCAGTGGGTTAGTCCCGTGCACGTGGTTCCCAAGAAGGCAGGAGTTACGGTGACCGTGAACGACAAAGGAGAAGAGATTCAAACATGCCTCCCAACGAAGTGGCGAGTTTGTATCGACTACCGGAAGTTGAATGCAGCGACGAAGAAAGATCACTTCCCGTTGCCATTCATCGATCAAATCCTTGATCGACTAGCAGGTCAGACTTACTTTTGTTTCTTGGATGGTTATTCAGGGTACAACCAGATTGCGATTCATCCGGACGATCAAGAAAAGACGACGTTCACATGTCCCTTTGGCACGTTCGTATTTAGGCGAATGCCATTCGGATTGTGTAACACCCCTGCGACATTCCAGAGATGTATGACGGCGATATTTTCCGATTTCCTTGGCGACAGTCTCGAAGTCTTCATGGACGATTTCTCTGTCTTTGGAGATGATTTCGACAACTGTCTAACTCACCTGACAAAGATCCTCGAGGTCTGCGTCAGAAAACGACTGGTATTGAGTTGGGAGAAATCCCATTTTATGGTGCGAGAGGGAGTAGTGCTCGGGCATCTCGTCTCGGGCAAAGGTTTGGAGGTTGATAAGGCCAAGATTGAGGTCATTCAAAACCTTCCTCTCCCCACTACATTACGAGATTTACGTAGTTTTTTAGGACACGTTGGTTTCTACCGCAGGTTTATACGAGATTTTGCTAAAGTTTCCAAACCGCTAACAACTCTTCTTTGCAAGGATAAAGACTTTTTTATAGATAAAGAAGGGGAGCGCGCATTCGAGATGTTGAAGCTCGCCTTGATCGAAGCACCAATTCTTCAAAATCCTAATTGGGACTTGCCTTTCGAGATCATGTGCGACGCCTCAGACTATGCAGTTGGAGCGGTGTTGGGACAACGGATAGATAAGAAGCTAACAACTATATGGTATGCGAGTAAGACCCTTGCTGAAGCTCAAATGAATTACACGACGACAGAAAAGGAGCTCTTAGCGGTGGTCTACGTGTTAGAGAAGTTCAGGCCTTACATCTTGGGAAGCAAGATTTTTATTTATACAGATCATGCAGCGTTAAAGTACTTATTTTCCAAGAAGGAGGCGAAGCCATGATTGATACGATGGGTGCTGCTTCTTCAAGAGTTTGACTTGGAGATTAGAGATAAGAAGGGCAGCGAAAACTCGGTGGCGGATCACCTATCTCGTCTTCACATTTCAGGTACGGGAGATATTAGTGATTTTTTTCCTGATGAACATCTTCTTGTAGTATCTAGTCATGCTCCTTGGTTCGCGCATATCGTCAATTTTCTAGTGACAAGATCGATCCCAGATCATTGGAACCGACATCGTAAAGATAAGTTCTTCCATGAACTCAAATATTATTATTGGGAAGAACCACTTTTGTTCCATGTAGGATACGATCAAATTATACGGCGATGCGTAGCGGAAGAAGAACAAGGAAGCATATTATCGATGTGTCACTCATCAGCGTATGGAGGACATTTTGCCGCGCGAAAGACAGCAGATAAGATTTTACAAAGCGGTTTTTATTGGCCCACCATCTTCAAGGATGCCCACCGTTTCTATACAGAGTGCTTACAATGCCAGGCATCATTAAACATCTCCAAGCGAGATGAAATGCCAATGAGGCCTATCCTTGAAGTGGAGATATTTGATTTATGGGGGATCGACTTTATGGGACCTTTTCCACCTTCTGATGGGAAAGAGTATATTTTGGTAGTGGTTGATTATGTGTCTAAGTGGGTGGAGGCTATTCCCACTAGGACAAACACTCATCGGGAAGTACTCAGGTTTGTAACGAGAAACATCTTCTCCCGATACGGTTGTCCGAGGGCCATAATCAGTGACGGAGGCTCGCACTTCAACAATGCACACTTTCGTGTATTATTGAAGAAATATGGAGTACATCATCGTGTCACTACACCGTACCACCCCCAAGCTAATGGGCAAGTTGAAGTGAGTAACCGAGAGGTCAAGAATATTTTAAAGAAGATCATTCGACTAGACGGTAAGGATTGGGCGCACAAGCTTCCAGATGCATTATGGGCGTATAGAACGGCTTACAAGACACCTATCGGGATGTCTCCGTTCCGACTCATATTTGGGAAGGCGTGCCATCTGCCAGTTGAGCTCGAGCATAGAGCCTATTGGGCAATAAAGAAGCTCAACCTATCTTTGGACGAAGTAGGTAAACATAGACTTCTCCAGCTGCAGGAATTACAGGAGTTAAGGCGTGACGCGTACGAGAACGCGGAGATCTACAAAGAAAAGACCAAGGCCTTTCATGACAAGAACATCAGAAGAAGAACTTTCAACGTCAATGAAAAGGTTTGGTTATATAACTCTCGCCTTAAGCTTTTTCCAGGTAAGCTGCGCTCATGGTGGGACGGTCCGTACGTGGTTGTGGAATCGTTTGACAACGGATCAGTGCTTATTTCCGACCCTAAATCTGACAAACAATTCAAGGTAAATGGGCATCGTCTAAAGCCCTACCTTACAGCAGAGCCACCCACACCAGCAGATAAGGTAAATCTGCATCTCCCCGAGGTACATGAGGACGTGATAAAGGTAACACCCTCATCTCATCGATCATTGTAGTTCACTAAGTTTCGTCTGGCTGAAGACGTTAAACTTAGCGCTCTTGGGAGGCACCCCAAGATTATCTTACTATTTTATTTAGTTCTTATTTGTAGTTATATCAATGTACATACATAGTTGGAGGAATCCACCTACAACAACAAGCAATTTGGACAAATTCCAGCGATATGCGTCAACACGCATAAATGAGTTTTTCTAAACCTTTTTACTTCACATTTCAATTTATAATCTTTTTCATGTAATGCATGATAGTTTGCCATCTTTTTAATATACATAATGGTTTCATTGAGGGCAATGAAAGATTTAAGTTGGGGGGTGAGGATGTAGAAAAACTTCAATTTTCAAAATTTTCAAAATTTCAAAATTTTCAAACTTTTTACTATTTTAAAACTACTATTTTTCAAATTTTTACTACTTTTAAACACCTTAGAAGTCTTAAACATTTTGAGATCCTATTCCTAGAGATGTAGAAGTGAGGGCCTCATAGCCCATGTGATTACATTTTGAGTAATAGAGCCAAGTGATCTAGAGAAACCATGGATTCTTTTTAGTGGTTGACTTCTTCGGGGTTGGGTATCTAGCAGGCACCGAGGAAAATGAGTAATCAGAGGTTGAAGTGCTATTGGATTAAAAAGGAGAGATTTTGAGTGAAGTTCAAGCAAATTTCCATCCCCTACCTTACATCAGCCGAACCTACTTGGTGTAGGAATTTCTCGCTTCCGAACTTTCTCCTAGAAGAGTGCAATGTGTCATAATTTATGATGCACCTATTCTACCCTTTAGGCATTTAGTTCTACCTTTTCCGTACCAGTCAATTAGACACCCAAATTTCAGCTTCACTGATTATAATTACACTCCCAAGTGATAAACATATCCACCACATTTTCTTTTCCACCATCTATACAAGCCATCCATCTTCTTCACAATTTCTCTTACAAGCAAATATTCCTTCATATTACACTTCAAAATTTCGAATACTCTCTTCAAACATCAAGACAACCTTCATATCCTTGTTTTATGCAAAGTCTTCAAATGTTATCTTCTTCTTCTCCAAAAAGTTACAATATACAAAAAGAAGAAAGAAGAGAAGAAAAAAAAAAAAAAGAAAAAGAAAAAAAGAGAAGCAAATATGAAATGAAGAAAAGAAGAAGACAAAAAGAAAGAAGGAAAGAAAATGAGGAGAAAAGAAAGAGAGGAATAAGAAAGTGAAAAGAAGGAGAACAATATGGGAAATTATCTTTACCATGTAAATACCTATCTCTACCCATTACCTTCATTCCATTTCCAATGTATATATCAATTTTACCACTCCACACCATCTCTACCACTTTCTATCAATCCTTATCTACCACCATCATCCACATCATTTGGGAGAATAATTAGACATCAGTGGTACCTTTTCTTTGTATATAATATCCAATTTGTTTATATGCTGATATTTGCTTTTAACCAAGTTATTCCTTTAGAAATAGTGTCTTTTTACTCTTTCAGCTACCTTATAACGATGCATCCTAAAATAGGAAATCCTTTTGCAATGCACTCTTTAAAGGAGAAAGAAGAGTTGAGGGAAATTCTAATGCACCAAGTAGCCTCCAAATGAGTGAAAGAGTGATGTGAGAACTAGAGAGGTGAGGATTACATCTGCTCATGAGAGTGTGAGAATCTTTTCATTCCCATAGCATCAAACCTTAGATGTGCTCACCTCGATTACACTTGAGTAATGACTCGACTATTAGCTGATGAGCACTACCCTAATATGCTCTAAGGAAGTCAACCTAGTTATGGAATCTAGATCACCATGGTCCACACTATGATGAAAAGTTGATCACACATTGATACACTTCACTTCTTTAGTTGCAGGATCAAGGGATGATAAGACTTTCTAAGGAGATTACCTAGTGAATTGCTAAGAGACTAGCAATTATTCAAGTTGGGGGGTGTGATAACATGCTATTTATGCATGTAATTATATAATTATTAATGCAAATTTAGGCATTAATCATTACAAATATATGCATGTTATCATATTTTAAGTATATTTCTATCATTTTGTGTAAATTCATGTTATGATCTTAAAATACACCAAATTATGGATTATTATAAATAATTACACATTACAATCTTTAATCCTAATTATATTTATGATCATAATCATGTTTTAAGAGTGAAAATATGAGAGAAAAGATATTTATTAACATTTATGTATTTATATAAATTTATTTTATATAATACATAAATTTATAAAAGTAATTAAAATTTATTCTCTTCTTATTTTAATAATTTGAGCTTTTATAATGGTAGATTATTCAATTTTGAATCCAACAAAACAAATTTGAATTAATTTGGAGTCGTATTTTGAAAGTTATGATTTTTACAATTTTATAGAATTTTCTGGAATTTTTCTGAATTTATTTATATTTATTTTCGATTTTTAAATGTTTTAAATTAATTAAAAAATCACAAAAAGGGGTTATATGTCGCGCGTGTACACGTGGATGCGACGTGGTACTCGGGGCCACGTGGCTCTACCACGTGGACAGCACGCGGGTGCCTGCGTGGTGCTGATGTGACACGTGGTGTATTTATAATTACTATATATATTTATTTAATAAAGTATATAGGTCTTCCGATTATCGAAAGACAGTATTAATCCCTCTTAATCGTCATATCTTATATACCCGAATATACTCCTTTGTTTTTCCCGTGTGGGACTAAAGTCCCTTAATTTTCTTATGTGCAGGACACGTGGCGTGATCTTGTGCGTCCGATCGACATCGCGACAAATAGCGTGCGTAGATCACGTGGAATCGAGGTCCACGCGATCAGAGATCAACCACGTGCCTAAATACTCACTTAAGTGAATAAATCGCGACCGTCTGATCGAGAGTTATAATGGTCCAGATTATTCACATCAGATGGACATCCAATCACATTTTAACCGCACGATCACGATCGGACGATCGTCGAATCGTCGCGACGATTCGTGAAGAGGCGTCTCATCGCGATCGTCCATCGCGATCAACTCCATCAGATCGGACGGCCACGATCATTTCTGAATTTTATAAAATCTGTTCTTCGCGACGGAAGAACTGCCCACGATCAATCTTCAAATTCTCTTTGTTTAGAGCTCCAATTCGCGCGCCATCTTTTGCATTGTGTTCGCAACTCATTTCCGCTTCTGTTGGATGTTTAATTTCAATGTTTGATTGAAAGAATTGGAAGAAATCAAGTCTTGAACTCCTCTTTCGTCTTCGAAAATTCGGAATGAAAAGCCTTGCATCCGGCGATTAATTGGATCATTTCGAAGGCTAATTTGGGTTAGATTGTTTGTTTTCATCTTAATCTTTCATCATTTAGTGTTAATTTTACTTTAAGTATTGTAGATTAAGTTTAATTTAGTTTTAATTTCTGTTTTTAATCATTTCGCGATACGAAAATTTTTCTTAACTTCAAACTTCGATTACTCTTCGAATTCTCATCCAAATCACCTGATTTTTGATTTCGTGGATTCGAAATTGATTATCTTTCTTAATATACTAAATTTCCCAATTTCTAACCTAATTTCATCGTCCGATTTGACCGAATTTCAAAGATATCTCTCAAATTTCCCTAATTCTCCGTGGATTCGACCCTTAATTACCATTATATTAATTAATTATTTTGATTAATCATAAATTGGTAAGATTATGACTTTTTTTTGACACTGAATCGTGTGCATTCAACGACCATACGATTTAGTCTCGTCAGGCAGCAAAATGGGTGACACTTTAGGGAGATCCAACATCTTCAATATGGTTTTTCACTGAGGTATGCATATACAGATAACAACCTAGTGAGATAGAAGATTTAGAATGCCTCCCACTTGTTGAGTTAACCTTTGACATGAAAGGGAGTCCACCCCTATCAATAGAAATACCATCAAGCCTAGATTTTTAATGGTCTTTGAGCCAACAAATGATTGTGATGAGATACTCTCCTTTCTTGGATATCCACGTTAGAAACAATCATGAAAATTGATAAGAGAAGATGCCTCTCCATCAGTGAGAAGGCAATTAGATAGTGGGTGACATCAAGATGACATATGCATAAAAATGGCTTGACACCCAACAAAGCATTATAAGTACAATAACGCGTCACAGAGGAAGGTTTGTTTGTATTTTGAAGCCATCACTGCAAAGAGAAGCTTGGAGACTGACCATGTTGAACTTTGTTCCTCTGTGATAATTCTTTGTGTTATGTTTTAGTTGTCTTTATTTCTCATATTATTATCTTTCTCTCCCTACATTGTCTTCATCCTCCTTCCTACCTTACTATTTTCTATTCTCCTTTATTGTTATCGGGCCTATCTATCCCATGTACCTTCCTCCATCGAGGGCTATTATAAGTGTAATATTAAACTCCTTCCATATTCTCTCTCTCTCTCCCTCTTTCACTCACACACACACACACACACACGAAATAGATGATCTCTATTAAATTGGTATTGAAATATGCCACCTAAATCAAACAATGTGAAGATAGAATTCTTCAAAAAAGAGATTGAAGACTTCCCCCATGGTCTTCTAAACCTCTAGTAAAATTTTGTAGTATTGCAAGTTGACGTAAAAGAAGTTCATACGGTAACAATCACAATGAATCAACAAGTCAAGTATACTATCTACTGAGTTGATGAAATTCATCATCAAAATAACTCCACAAATCCTTGCTATAGGGATCATGCATGCAACTAGGTGTTGGCACTTGGACCTCAAAAGATGGTCAAACACTCATTGAGGTGCTTAACACATGCCAAGATCATCCACAAACACCACCTGCATCCACATAGAAAATTGTGACATGGAGGTTGCAAGCTCTACATGCCTATATTCAATAGTCAAGACCTAGAACATTTTCCATGAAGAATTATTCTTCGTAATACATTGGCTATCAACTATGAATAAACTATTTACTACTATGATCAGTCTACAAAGCAAGACCCTTGGTTCAAATGGATTGATATA